TTCACATCATATTCTCTCTGGGGGTTCTTTTCCTTCTTGTCTCTGACCGAGATTATTGAAGGTAATTAAACAGTCCCCAGAACTTTAGCCAACAGCTATGAGTGGAAGCCGAAAGTCATTATGGTGTAGCGTGTCCCTCTGGTTGTGTAGCCTTTGGCAATGTGCAGTGCGTCACAGAATCTGTAAACAAATATCTATTTCTGACACTTGTGCTAGACTGCACCCCGAGGAAATCTAGGTCTGACCCATTTAACAGCCACGAAGCTCCGCTGTGTCCTTGCAGACCGGGAACTCCACTTCCCAGCGTCCCCTCACGCAGTCCGCTGGCCTTCATCCTGAAACTGAAGCCACCGCTTGCAGCCACCGAAGGAACGAACGGGAGAACTACGTTACCCAGAAGGCACTGCGGAAACCGACGGTAGCCAGCAGAGCCAATGAAAGCTCAGCATAGAGCCGTTTACTTGAAAACGCGCACTGGAGGCGGGGTTTTCAGACTCTCCACTGGGTGTTGGAGTTCTTTCTGTTCCAGGGATTCTGCTGCGGTTCTTCTCGTTTTCCTTCGGCAACTCTCACCCGGCTGCGCGGAGGCGGCGCCCGGTTCCCGACCTGTTGCCCTTGCGCTTCCTGCAAGCTGGTGGCGGGGCGGCGTCCACAAGCCCGACTGAGGTGGGTGCTGCGTCCCCCGGCTTTCCCGCCGGTCTCCCACCTCCAAGTCGGAGCCGGCTGGAGGGGCGCTGTCGGGTCCCTGCGTCAAGGCGCACGGGTCCCTCGGTGTCCGCCGTGTGAGGAGGGGGCAGCGATCTCTCTGGGGCGTTAGAGCGCTGGGGAACCGACGTCTCTGTGTCCAGGGGCGATGAGTGTCGCCTTGAGGGACGATCTGAGCGGCTGGAATTCTTGAAAGGTTAGGATGATGTGATTTTTAAGAAATATGTACTTGGGCGCTCAGGTTACCAAAATAGGTTTTCCATACTTGGTCTTGTCACAGCTCTCCAAACCCTGGGAATTTTTCAGGTGTTGAGATTAATAGAGGTATCATTTGTTTTGGGAATAGATGACTTTTGGAAGGCATCTGGGGTCGCAGATGAGCCGAAAGAACCAGCCTGTGATTGGAGGGTTGGAACTTTCAGTCCCACGCTCTGACTTCCCTGCGGGGAGAGGGACTGGAGATCAAATCAGTCGCTTCTGGCTGTGATTGAATCCGTCCTGTCTATGGAGTGAACCCTTCATAAATCCCCTGAAGGACGGGGTTCAGAGAGCTTCTGGGTTGAGATTTAGGGAGAGTGACACCTGGAGAGAGCGTGGAAACTCGGTGCTCAGTCCTCACACCTGGCCCTATGCTTCGCTTCCATCTGTTCCTGAGTTATGTCCTTTTACAATGAACTGTCAACTTAGTAAGTATTGTTACATGTTTCTCTGAGTCCTGTGAGCAGTACTAGGAAATTAAGGAGGGATCTTGGGAACCTCTGATTTACAGTCCGTGAATCAGAAGTACAGGTAACAACCTGGACTTGTGACTGGCATCTGAATTGAGTTGCCAAGGAGGGCGGACGTTGGAACTTCCAATCTGTAACCAGTTGGTCAGAAATGCAGAAAACAGCCTGGGCTTTCAACTGGCATTTCGTGATTAGTGGGGGGCAATCTTGTAGGGCTGAGCCCTACACCTGTGGAATCTGATGCTGTGTAGGCAAAATTGAATTGCTATTTGGACATCCTTCTGATGTCTGATAATTGCTCCGTGTTGTGTGGAAAGCCACCCTGCTTCATATTGGAATTGAGTCCAGGAACCTAATTTAGGGACATGTCCAGATTTGAAGTTTAAAGTTGTCAAGAAGTGGATGGGAAATGGAGGCGGGGAGATGCGTTAAGGAGGACCCAGCAGTAGACTTCAGGAGGATTATGGGAGCTCAGTAGAGTTTGTATAGGTCGTAAAGACAGCCAGCAGGATTTTCTGCTGCATCACGTGTGCTTGTGAGCAAAAGTAGGTAGTGAAGGACCACCCCAGGTTTTTTACCTAATTATTGAAGGAATGGAGATGAGGAAGTAGTGCAGTGAACAGGACTCTGTGAGAAGATTGTGAGTTGCATTTGGACATGTACTGTGAGGTGTCTCAACCTGACTCTGAGATGTCAGAACAAGGAGACATCACCTGGGTAGATGTACAGAAATGTCTGGATTCCTGGGAAGTGGTTGGGCTGGAGCCTCTGAAAGAGTGGAGGGCGTTGAGTGGACCAGGCCATAGCCTAATGACCACATTGAAGAAGGAGAGACTTATGGTTATTCCAGATGGGCTCTGTGGTCAGGGAGTGAGGCAAGCCTGAGACTGGAGGGCAGGATGCAGAGGTGGGTGTGCACTCCTGATGCCTCTTCAGAGGGCAACGGTCCAGTGGTCCAGGTGTAGGATGAATTCTGGCCTGTGTTTGCGAGAAGGGAGGTTCAGATGAGGTAAGGGGCTGACTTGGGGTGAAGGCTGAGGTGTGAGTTGGTCTTCTCCCCACTGCAGGCTGAGCAGACCCTCAAGGCCACTCCCTGTGGAACATGACAGAGGTCACCTGTGTTAGTAGGGCAGCTAGATCTCAGACCAGAGCACCTCCTCCAGTGCTCAGAGCAAGGGGGTGATCCACTGTCCAGTCAAGAGCTTCTTGCGTGCTCCCCTCACAGGATTACATTGCAGGCAGGCCTGGTTGCTGAAAGGGTAATATGCTCAATGCCTCCATGTAACTTATTAACTGAAGAGTACATAAAAGTTACTGATTTGAACACTAATGAACTAACATTCCTCTAAATGTGTACACAGGTAGACAATTAGAAACCGAACATATCGGATTAGTTAAATTTATCCAAACACTTCATAATTGGTCTGAATGTTAACTCACCCATAAGTATTTGTTTATGATATAGGAGTTTTATGTATTGCGTCCCCTAAAAACTCTAAAAGCTGGGAAAAATATATGCCCAAATTTCAAAACCCGAACACTTCATTTGCAGTGAAAACATCCAAAACCATTGATCATGGGGACAGTACAGCTGATACATAGTCTGTACCCCTTATGTTCGATACCACTATCTGCCCTTTGAGCTGAAACCATTCTGATGCCCATTTTACAGATGAAGGCACTGAGGTTTATGGATGTGTGTTCTCCACGGTCACTCGGCTGATAAGAAGCAGCACTGATTTCTGAGGAGCTGGGCTCAGAGCACTTTGCTCCAAGGCAGGGCAGGGGTGGTGGTCCAGCTGAGCTTGTAGGATCCTACCATGGTTAGCCATCTCTCACAGCCTCCTTCTTCCCACAGGGTCCCACAGCAGTGGCAAAAATGCTTATGGGCCCTGCACGGGTGAGTGGAGGTTGGCTCAGGTTCCCACCCACCCTAATTGTCTCCCTCATGGTTTAGGCATCCCGACGTAGGGAACAGTGGTATTCCGAGACTCCACCTCTCCTCCTCCCTCTCTGGGGCCTGAAAACCCTGCGGTTCCACATAGCTGTGGTCCTTTACTCAGTCCTGGGTTACATGGCTCTGTTCCAGTTCAGACACTGACAGGGTAAGATGTGACATGCATTCTGGGCACAGGATCCAGAATGTTCAAATGCCACAGGTGAGCCCTGGCCAGGTAGCTCAGTTGATTAGAGCATCATACACTGTTTCCTTCTCTCTTTCTCTCTCTCAAATCAGTAAATTAAAAAAGAAAGAAAGAGAGAGAGAGAGAAGAAAGGAAAGGAAGGAAGGAAGGAAAGAGAGAAAAAGAAAGAAAGGAAGAAAAGAAAGAAAGAGAGAAAGAAAGGGAGGGAGGGAAAGAAAGGAAGGAAGGAAGGAAGGAAAGAAGGAAGGAAGGAAGGAAGGAAGGAAGGAAGGAAAGAGAGAGAAAGAAAGAAAGAAAGAAAGAAAGAAAGAAAGAAAGAAAGAAAGAAAGAAAGAAAGAAAGAAAGAAAGAAAGAAAGAAGGAAGGAAGAGAAAGAAGGAAGGAAGGAAGGAAGGAAGGAAGGAGAAAGAAAGAGAGAAGGAAGAAGAAAGAAAGAAAGAAAGAAAGAAAGAAAGAAAGAAAGAAAGAAAGAAAGAAAGAAAGAAAGAAAGAAAGAAAGAAAAGAAAAGGAAAGGAAAGAAGGAAGGAAAGAAGGAAAGAAAGAGAAAGAAAGAAAGAAAGAAAGAAAGAAAGAAAGAAAGAAAGAAAGAGAAGGAAGGAAAGAAAGAAGGAAGGAAGGAAGGAAGGAAAGAAAGAAGGAAGGAAGGAAGGAAGGAAGGAAGGAAGGAAGGAAGGAAGGAAGGAAGGAAGGAAGGAAGGAAAGAAAGAAGGAAAGAAAGAAAGAAAGAAAAGAAAAGAAAAGAAAAGGAAGGAAGGGAAGGAAGGAAAGAAAAGAAAAGAAAAAAGAAATGAAAGAAAGAAAGAAACTTAACAAATGATGGCAGGTGTGACTTAGCTGGGATGTTTAGGAAATTGCAAATTCCTGTTCCATCCCATGGGGTAGGGAGTGGGGTGGCAAGAGTTTGAGCCATGCAGGAGCCAGGCTTAGAATGACAACTGATTGTTCCAGGCCTCCAGTCTGAGGACCGTGAGAGCTGGGGCAGGTGTGGGGCAGGGGAGGGAGGTGATCCAACCCAAGTTTTGACAGGCTTGCTGGGCTGCAGAGTTGGAGGATAGACATGGGGGGAGAGAGTAGGGTGGCTGCCCCAGAACAGCCAGCCGAGTGCTGGTGTTGGCTGGGCAGGAGTGGTTGGCTTTTGGATGTGCTGCACAGAACTGCTGCATTTCCTGCTATGGAGCGTGAGATGGAAGTAGGGAGTCAGGGCCAGCCCCAGGTTTCTGGCCTTGCTATAGTTTCAGTTTTATAAAATAAAAAGACTTCTGGATGTATGTTGCACAGTAACATGAATGTATTATTACTACTGAACCTTAACCTTAAATGATGAAAATTGCAAATTTTGGCTTACAAGTATTTAAGACACAATTAAAAAACACACACACACAACTGCATAGCAGTGCTTCCAGTGCTAAATCACAGCAGACATTACTTTGAAGTCATTTCTGGTTTGCAATACTCTTTGCTGTGAACTTCTCGGTGCCGAACAAGGTGGGAGTTCTGCCTAAAGCCTCTCCCGCAGTTGCAGCACTCATAGGGCTTTTCCCCCATGTGGATTCTACGATGTTTAATGAGGCTGAGTTGTATCTAAAGACTTTACCACATTCACCACACTCATAAGGCTTCTCTCCAGTGTGAACTCTCTGATGAATAATGAGTGTGGAGCTGTCCATAAAGGATTTCCCGCACTCACTACATTCGTAAGTTTTCTCTCTGGTGTGAACATTCTGGTGCCGAATGAGATGAGAGTTTTGGCTGAAGAGTCTGCCACATACGGGGCACTCATAAGGCTTCTGATGTGCTTTGAGTTGTGCCTAAAGAGTTTCCCACATTCGCTGCACTCGTCAGGCCTTTCTCCACTGTGCGCTTTCCGATGTCTCTCAAGGGTGAAGTGGTACCTGAAGAACTTCCCACATTTGCTGCACCCAGAACGCCTTCCCAGAGTGTGAACTCTGGTGAATAATGAGCACGGAGAGGTCCAGGAAAGACTTCCCACACACGCTGCACACATATGGCCTTTCTCTGGTGTGAACTCTCTGATGTCTTTTGAGTGTAAAGCTGTACCTAAAGGATTTCCCACACTCACTGCATTGATAGGGCGCTTCTCCAGTGTGAACTCTCTGATGAATAATGAGCGTGGAGCTGTCTTTAACACACATTCCGCACTGGCTGCACTCATAACGCATTGGCCTGGTATGAACTCTCTGGTGCTCAGTGAAGCCAGACCTTTGACTGAAGAGTCCCCCACAGTCAAAGAGCTCACTGAGCCTTGTTTCACTATGCACTTTCTGGTGCTCAACACATAAGTGTTTGTAGCTAAAGGCTTTCCCACATTTGTCACACCTGTAGCTATTGTGCCCACTTTCCAGAGTCTCCCTGCCCTCAGTGTTATGTAGCTTCCCTGCACTGTGAGGGGTCTGGTGCAGGGAAAGGCCAGAGCTGGCCTGAGAGTTTTTCTCACCCTCCCCGCGTGGCAAGGTCCTCTCTGCAGGGCGAACAATGCAGTTCTTTACAAATGAAGGCCTCTGTTGAATTCATCCAGACACTTTCTTTCTGTTCTGCTCCTTACGGCACCCAGAAAGACTGGCCACATGTGTGATCACCTCTTGCTGAGGGTGCGTTCCGTCCTGCTTATCCAGACACAAAATGTCTTTCAAGACTGGGCTACACATCTCCCAAAAATGAGACTTCTGGGTGCATGGATCCTGACTTGGGGTCCGAACCTGTGACACTCCTGCAGAATCACCTTGCCTCGAAGGGACTTCCTCTTCCTGCGCTCCAGGCCAACCACCTGTAAGCAGACAACTGACGGTGAAGTACATGTTGACTTTGGTGGGAGGGGGCAGCTCATCAGAAATGTGCATCAGACACCCAGGAATAAGGGACTGCTGACGGGCAGGGGGGTCTAGACACAGTGGGAGGAAGCCCACCGTGCAGAGCTGGCCTGGGAGCTCACAATGCGAGTGCCCTGATCATGGGGAAAAACACAAGGAAGGGACAGGGCGGCGGGGAGTTGCACGGTGTGCAGGTCACTGCTCTGCAAATGGCTTTCAGCAAGGGCATGGTTGCTGGTGACTGGTGAACACTGAGTAGTAGGTTGTGTCCAGACCCAGACATGTCTGATTGGAACACAGTAGCTGGTGTTCCAGGGCTATTTAAGGACATACGCAGACGTCACTGCACCTTAAGTGTAGGCCGAATGTCAAGAGCACTGCAAAGGGAGTAGTGGAAGAGAACGGGTGACAGGTGGAGGCCACAAAATTCAGGTAAGCTGGGGCCTGGAAGATTAGAAATGACAGTGGAAAAGAAAAGGTAGAATGCATGTGGGTTCTGGCCCGGGCATCCCACAGGGTGGGCACAGGGCTGGTGCCCAGCGTGATTCGGACCCAGTTCTGACGACACATCCTTTCCCAGCTCCCAAGCACGACAGCCATTCCTTGTTGCCACTAATAGTGCTGTCTACGTCAACAGGCAGCTGGGGCCCTCCCCCTTTCTCAGAGCGAGCGCTGACATGGGACTTGAAAAAAACCCGCCCAGGTGAAACACAGGGAAAGGGCGTGGCCAGCAAGGCGCCAGAGTGATCCAACTCCTGGCAGCCCACATTCTAAGATCATGAGCAGTTCATAGTAGGGTCTTGCAGAACCAGCGGTCTCCATCCACAAGTAGTGACCACATTGGAAGTGGGGACAGTGCACACAGCTGTCCCTGACACCGACAGCACATGTGCCAGAAAACCAGGAGAGGAAGCGATGTCTGCAGTCTTGTGATGGGAAGGACCGAGCTGCCTCTGGAAAGGACAAGAACAGAGTCCAGCCCAGGACCCGAGTGTGGGTGTGAGGGCCTCACCTACGGAGGACAGCAGTGCCAAGTTCTCCAGCATCACACTGTGGTACAGGCGTCTCTGAGCCTCATTCAGGAGCCCCCACTCCTCCTGGGAGAAGTGTACGGCCACATCCTCAAGTACCACACAGCCCTGTGAAAATGGAGAATTTGGTCCATGAGCAGCTTGTTTTCACTGTGTTTTTGTGGATTCTCTACTTACCTATTTATCATCCATTAATTACAGATTAAACTAATGGCCAAATTTGTTTATATCACCCCTGTGATTCAGAGCCCATTGTCTGAACCAGCTCCTTAGCTAACTTGCAAAGCCAGTGAATATTTCCCCTGCCTGAAAGCAGACGGCTAGGGACAGCCCCTAAGCTGGAAGACCTACCGGAACATTCCAGATTAGTCAACCCTAAACTACTCACCTTACTCTCATCTTTTCCAAGGAAACCCCAGAAAATGTTCTGGCTGAGGTTTCCCCTTGCTCCTCCTGCCTCCTGATCAGACCTGGTGCTTCCTAACCTGACACTGAGTGGCGTGGGGTTCACTGTACTCTAAGGAAATATAAGGAATAAAGATCTCTCTCAATGATACTGGCCTCTCCATATTGTCATTGACTCATTCACATCTACAAATAAAAATCCCGTTGGCACAATCACTCATCCATGTCTCTCTCCAGGGTCTTCAGTCCTTTCCCACACATCCTCCTTTCTCCCCGACTTCCCAGGGTAGGAGAGTTACCAGGTGTGGTGGCACTGGTGCCTGCTCTCTGTCTATTGTCACTGATCACTGTGTGCAGCACAGAACAGAACACATGTCGGGGAGGCTGCAGAAAAGTACCAGCTCGGCTCTGGCCTGGAACGAGGTCTGGGAAAATTCACAGGACTTCGCCCGCATTTGGTGCCCTGGATGCAAAGATTATTTTTGGTTTGCAGTCAGCTGGGGGATGAGGCAGTGGCTTGGATGGTCTTCATCACATTTGGCAGCAGCCTGTGTTGGGTCACTCGGAGGATGTGCCATATTCCCAGGAGTGTTGAGGGACAGCCCTGTTCCCTGATCTAACTTGGGAGCCTGTGTCCTGAAGTCAAAAATCATGTAGTTATGTGTCCATGGACATAAGACTTGCAGGGCCCAGAGTAGGAACTCTATTCTCTACAGAAGCTGGTTGGATTAGTAGGAAGTGGGGGAGGCTGCAGTAAACCAGAGTGGATGAGCCCCCCCTAAAGGAGCACCCCTCTGTGTCCCAGGAACTGGCTGTGTGGGATGAGGGTGTACCGAAGCCCTCAGGGTCCACAGGCCTGTGCGTGTCATGAAGCCATTGTCACTGCCAGAGCTACTGATCCAGAGGTTTTATGGATTCCTGTAGCTGCCCTGGGCATTTCCCTCAAACCATAGCTATACATTGAATCAAACTCCAAAAGAAAGGTAAACTGTCATGGAATTAGGGGAATTGGACTGTTCTCCCCTTGGCTTTCCTGACATAAAGCTGTTCAGTGTAGGAAACAAGTAAGCTAAAGAGCCTAAGTTCAGTTACACGTGAAATAGTTATCAAGAAAAAAATTATGAGCCATCTACCTCCTACACAAGTTTCCACCAAAGCATCTTATATTTTATATTTTGTATTTGAATACTTTTCCTAATAGTGTCTTCAGTGTATGTGTGCTATGAAAATTATTAAGGCATTTCAAAAAATTGTTAATTTTTAAAAAATATTTTATTTATCTTTAAAGGGGAAGGGAAGGAGAAAGGGAGAGAAATATCAAAGTATGGTTGCCTCTTGTGCATCCCCTGCTGGGAACTGGCCTGCAATCCAGGCATGTGCCCTGACTTGGAATTGAACCACAAGCCTTTGGTTCGCAAGCCCACGCTCAATCCACTGAGCTACACCAGCCAGGGTGTAACTTGATTTTTTTAAATTTATTTATTGATGTAAGAGAAGCATTGATTTGTTGTTCCACTTATTTATGCATTCATTGGTTGATTCTTGCATATGCCCTGACCAGGGATCAAACTCAACCTTGGCATATCAGGAAGATGCTCTCACCAGCAGAGCTACTTGGCCAGGGCAACTATTGATTTTTTGTTTTTTAGAATTTTATGTCATTGGAATCTTAAACGTTTCCTCATATTTGTGTTTTCTTTAGTGTGTGCACACAGCACTATTACCCGTTAATGGATGCTTTTTTTTTTAAGAGGGGAAGAAAAGGAAAGAGAAACATCAGTGTGTGGTTGCCTCTCACATACCCCCCACTGGGGACCTGGCCTGCAACCCAAGCGTGTACCCTGACTGGGAATCGAACTGGCAACTGTTTGATTCACAGGCCAGCGCTCAATCCACTGAGCTCCACCACCCAGAGCTAATGGATGTTTTTGTTTCCAGTTTGGCTCTCATGAATAAGCTTATGTGGTAACACATGTACGTACACATATTTAAATTTGCCACCTGGGTATTTTTTTGGGGGGGGATGAAATGTGAATAGAAATGTAACTTCATGCTTTACTTTTACTCAGTGAAATAAATGTTTTTCAGTACTGGAAGAATGTTTCCATGTGAAAGTTCAAGTTCTCATATAGTCTTCACAGGTCTAGACAGTTAATAAAGCAACTATTTCCATCTGACCTTGAGGTTCACCAAATTTAAATTTGGAGAGAGATGTGCATTTGCACATCATTGAGTATTCCCTCTGTGCAATAAAGGATTGTCAGCGGTTCTGGGTTGTCCAGCCTCCGCACATTCCAAGGAAAGTTTGGCACTTGCTTCTGTGAGGTAAACCTCTAAAGCTCCTGAAACATTCTGCTTGGTCAACATTAAGAGTTTTGTGCCCTGGGTGGTGTAGCTCAGTGAATTGAGCGCAGGCCTGGGAACCACACTATTGCAGTTCGATTCCCAGTCAGGGCACATGCCTGGGTTGCAGGCCAGTTCCCAGCAGAGGACTCACGAGAGGCAACCATACATTGATATTTCTCTCTTTCCTTCCCCTTTAAAGATAATAAATAAAATCTTTGAAAAAAAAAAAAGTTTTGCCCTGACTGGTGCGGCTCAGGTGGTTGAGCATCATCCTGCAAAATTAAAGGTCACTGGTTTGATTCCTGATCAGGGCAGGTGCCTTGGTTGTGGGCTGGGTCCCCAGTTGAGGCATGTGCAAGAAGCAACCGATCCATGTTTCTTTCCCTCTTTCTCCCTTTCCCTCTCCAAAATAAATGCATTTTTTTAAACAGTCTTTATCTCGGGCCTTGGACCATATGCCAGACAGTCTATAGTGTTAATGGAGAGCCTTTGACCTCTGGAGAGGCGAGTCACAGCCAACACAAGTGCTCCTTGTCTGTGTGACAACCTTGGGGGATGGAAAAATCACCACCAAGGCTATCATGATGGATTCCCTAGTTAGCACTGATGGCAGACTTAAGCTCTATCCTGTGAGTGCACTGGAAGCCAGCACACAGTATCTCCTGGACTCAGCCCTATGTGTCATCTTCCTTTGCTCTCATCAGTAGCCTTTCATAGGGATTAGAACAAATCAAGAGATCAGTGGTAGGGGTGCAGTTTCTGGGGGCTGTATGTTTGAATCTTTGTCCTCGAAATTCAGGACTGAGGACCTAGTGGACATCTTTGGGGGACATTAATCAGCTTGCTACAT